CATAGACCCAACTACCTGTAACCATACATATGTTTCGTCATTATTTTGACAATATGAATGTCACGAAACGTAAGACAGTGTATACCATGACAAAGTAAAACTATGTAAAATGTAAATGAATTAATCAAAGCAAGAACTAAAATCAATACCGTAACCCTTAGAAAACTATGTGAAATGTAAATGAATTAAATCAAGAACTAAAACTAACAAAACTAAGATCTTATGGTAATACTTATTCCAATCGAAGGGCATTCGGAAATCCCGTACACCCTGTCTGGAAATCCGAAAACACGGAAATCCTTAAGAAATTCTTAGGAAATCCGGAAATCTCCAGGAAATCCCAAAAATCCTAAAATCTAGCAAATGTTCAATTCGCAGCAATCTTTTACAAAATCTTGGTAATAGCATTAAAGATGTCTTTACAAGTAGGTAAAACAGTGTCATAAAGAGATTAATACCTAAGCAGTTGAAGGGCAGAGGCCGTCTCGTAAAAAAGGTGTCATGAATTTTTGACAAAACGTATTGTATGAAAATAATGAATTAATGTTTAAAGTGCCCTTTTTAAGTTCAAACCTTTGTAAGAATCGGACATTTGGTTTTATGCCCACATGTGCCAAGTTTCAAGCAATTTGATTGGCCTGTTGAGTACAAAGATTTTTTTTTTAGTACCAACCAGAACTTATCCGAAATCCTTTTTTTTTTGGGGGGGAGGGAAAACAATTACGCACAAGTCAAACAATAAGGCTTAAGTGAATCTTGGTGAATTATTATATCAATAAAAAAAGCACCACAGGATGTTACGCATGTAGCTGCAAGGTCAAGTGAGTTTACTTTAATCCCCTAATGTCTATCCCTGCATTTTTTTTTTTTTCTTTTTTTTTAGAAACAGGATTGCTCCCAAATATTCCAAGCAAATGTGGAAATTTCTGGAAGTGAGTTGCTTTCAACGATACTCCATTCGTTAATCCCGAGGTTAATCCATCAGATAATGACGAAAAAGAAAAATAATGATAATATTTCGTCTGGGGGTTACAGTAACCTTAGCCAGAGTCAT